CAGCTGTAATCTCAGTTTGATGTACCATCTTTTTAAATTAGAATTTCTAATTGAAGTAGGCAATTGTCAGAGTAAGTATTTGCATTGCTCTGCTGTGAGGAGTTGGTGCAGCTCTGGGCCGGTGCTGCTGCAGTGCGTGTGGCTGCTTCCAGAGCTCAGCCCTTCTGCTGCTATTGCCACTGGTGTGGGAAGCAGAGCACAAGTTGAGTGCTTGTCTGTGTGAGCACACGCTCATTTGCAGGTGCCCGTGGTTGTCTGTAGGATTTCCTAATGGTCCAACCCCTTTAAACAAGGATGTGGGCTGGCGACAGCAAGTACTTCTGAAGCTGCTGTACGAGTTCTAAAAGGCAGGCTGTCACTTCACCTCCTGCTCAGTCTGGGTTCTCTTCTCATGTGCTGTCCTTGTCCTGCAGGGCATCTGGCACCTTGCTGGAGGTGCTTGGCTTCAAGGTTCTTCTTTGGAGATCTGAGCTCTTATAAGGGCTGCTTCCATTTGAGTTTTGTGTCCTCTCCCTTTCTCTTCCTCTTATGACACTGAACTGCACATCAAATTCCTATGCGGTAAGTCAGAATAAGGCACTGTACAGTAATGTTGGTGTAACATACAGATGTATTTAATTAATTAGGGGAGTGGAATGTTCAAAACTGAGAAATTGTGTTGCCATGTTCCCAACTATGCAGTTTAATAACACATAGCATCAATATTTTTGTGATGGATTGTATTGAAGGAAAATAAACCACTGATAGCTGAAACTTAAAATTTACCTCTTCAGACATGAGCACAAAATGTACCGGGGATGTGAGGATGCTGTTATGGGAAAAAGAAATTGTAATAGGTTGAGTAAATGAAGCTGATATCCTTTAAAAATGAATAGAGGAGAAGATGGCTCCACCCAAATGAAGCCGTTGTGTGTGTTATTTGGTAAGGGGGGCTGGTAATAAAGCCAGACATGGCAACAGCTGCGTGCCCAACCAAGGCAGTCGGGACCAAAGGCTGGCGGTGCGTGGTGCGGCCAGGGGATGGGGAGTTTGGCTACTTGCTGTGTTTAATGTGGTATTGTTGGCAAGTCTTACAACAAGTGTGCTTCAGGTCTGCCTCCTGTAGCCAACAGGGCAGCACGTTTTTGTTGTGTTTAGTTTCATACTGTGAGATCCTCAAATGAACTGCCAAAAACCGCTGCGATCTTCATTCTTGTTAGTTTTCTTCATGTTATAAAATAAACCTGCAGTGCACAGATTAAATGGAGCCAGGCCTACTTGTAAAATCACTCTAGTGTGGGGATCCAGGCTGGAATTGCAGACTACTACAAAGAAAAAGCTGTTCTTTATTCCTTACTCGTGCCATCATTATTATTATTTCTCTTGGTAATACACAGAATGGTTATGCTTAAATATCAAATCTTCTGTCTCAGCACTGCTTTAACATGGGCTAGTGTTAATCCAGGTAGTCATGGGCCATGTTTTATGTAATGATCCACACTTTCACACCACAGACACACAGGCCAAAGGGAAGCACATTGATTTAGTGCTGAGTAATCCTTGTTTAATCCCTAGTCCTTTGGTTTGCATCACTACGGTGTCTCCTGCAGTAGTCAGCATTCAATCTTCATTCTTGGCAGACTGAATTAAAGGAAAGATTTATTAATTTTTAAGAAGTTGGCTTTGTAGGTGCATCTTAAGTAAGCTCAAAATCAGAGCGGTTCAGAAACCAATATTGTCTTTACTATAAAAATCTGCTCCTTCAAATACGATCCCAGCTGAGCTGCACAGCCTCCCTTCGTGGTCACTCGTGCAATGCGCGGCACAGGGCTGACCTCAACAGCAGTCCTGTTGCAGGCCCTCAGCCTCCTTCCTTTTTCGCTCATATACAGTTAATCTTCTCTTCCCTCTCATCGACACCAAAGTCAGCAATGCTTGCTTTATGGCCCAGGAGCTGATAAGAGAAGGTTTGGAACTGATGGGTTCATTTGCAGAAAATACTGGGGGATGTCAGAGATCACCACCCATTGCAGTGGTGATAAATATTCTGTGTAATTGCTAAACAAATGTTAGTGTTTGGGATTTATTTTCTATTAGTTTATGGATGCTTGTTGCTTTCTTCCCTCTTGTAGTGCAAAGACAGTGATTCTCGGGAGGAAGCCTTTTGTAATAACTTGGCTGTCATCACTTTTGCTCCTGAATCCTTCATGCCAGGTACAGGCTAGCCCTATTCCATTCTCGACAGGGATGTTCCAGAGCTAATGCCAGCAACTTAAGTTGGCTCTTTACTCAAACCTTCCTGCTAGAAAGTCAGCCGAAATGTTGACAGATGACCATGCTTGTGTTTCAGTTGCAAGGAGCTTTAGCAATGTTTCCCCCCTCCCCTCTGGAAATATTGTACTTTTCTGGATGCTGTCAGATAACTGCATTTTACAGTCTGTATGAACATACACCGTCCTTCTTGTGGAAGTTACTCAGCTTTGGGAAGGTCCAGGTCTGCTCCTTAAGCAAATAAACTTTTAGAAAACTGTAATTCTAGTTCAAACTATGGCATTCAGGCTCAGCTCTAAACCAAACTAATTAGTCTGGTTGTTCATTTCAAGGGAACTGTAATGTGAAAAAAATTAAAATTCTCTTTACTGTTTAAAGAAAATTGCCAGTGATCTACAGCACTAACGTGTCATGGATGGTGCCTGGGTAAGGCAAAAAGAACAGATCCATCCTACACTTTGTTCTTGTAAGTGGATCTGCATGTGTCCTTCCTCCTGAAGCTGATGAGACTCTTTGCCTCTTCTGCCTGCTACTAAGAATACAGATATGCAGCTCGTGCTCTTGTTTTCAGTTTGTATTTGCATGACTGAGTTTTTACATCTGTCTAGTCAGATAAATACAACTATATAACCCCTAGCAAAAGGCAGTTATTCCAAAGCAGTGGCACATAGTGTATGTTCCAACAGACCTATTAGTAAATCTTTGTCCCCCTTGTGAATCTCCGTAGTTAATTTAGATCAACCTTGACAGCAAGTGGCATTTTCTGAGGGAAGAATATACTGAAGAGTTTCTAACAGTGTCTGTGAGCTAATAGCACTTCAAATTAATGCACGTGTTTGTTCTTCTGGAGCGGGTGGCTGGTGCCAGTATTTGCATCAAGGTACTTACTACATGCTGTGGCTTCATTACAGTAACACTCTGCATACTGCTTTGAGCCCTGGCTCGAGAACACGAGGCTGGAGTGGTTTTCTTCTCTACAGGGCGCAGATTTGGCCATTCTTATTTCCTGCAGCAACCAGTTAAAGTACGTATTACTTGAGGGCATTTTATCCATGTGCCTCTTGAATACCCATGCTGGGCTCCAGCAGGGAGCAGTCCAGTGCCTGTGGTGCCAGGCATCCCGAGGCAGCACTCTGGCCTTGATCACAATGACGGCAGCAGCTCTTCCTGCACCTCGGGCAGCAGAAGGTGTGAAGAGGTGGTGTGCAGTGCTGATCTTGTGTCCCAGGGCGCCCAGAGTCTGCATGAGAAGATGGAGAGCTGACTGTGCCCAGCCACCAGCCTGACAGCAGTTCCGGGGCACTGACCTTCATCTCTCACATAAAGCTCACTGATAAGAAAAGGGGCTGTGATTGCACAGCACAGGGCGGATGGGGACGTGGCTTTTACAGCTTATTAAAAATTTGAGCGATTGGTTTATAATGTTAAGTGGAGACTAAAACCTGAGTGGTTACACCTGGGCTGTGTCCTTTTAAAAACTGACTGTGAAATTGTTCTCATACAGCAGAACTCCTGTGAGTTCTGTCTGCAGAGCATGGGAGAAGGAAGAGATGGCAGTCTCTTCTAGCAGCAGGTCTGTGCGGAAGGACTCTGTCCTCCTGGCCTGGAGACTCGTGTATGGCACAGGCAGCTCCTCCTTTGTGTGGGAGGTGGATGATGTGTGCAGATGGAGCCATTACCATCTAGGCAACAGTGTCTGATAGATGTAATGAACACCAGCACCACCCTCTGACTCAGGATCACTCAAAATTAGGATTTGCCTTTTTTAATGCAGTGTGATCATTGGTGCAGCTGCCTAACAGTAAAGAAACACTCAAAGAAATGAATTGTTGAAGTGCTGTCACACTCCAAAAGGCGCAAGACCAAATTTTCTTTAGAAAAGCTGGTAGAACAGGGTGCTGTTTCTGTGAGAGCAAGAACATCAGGCTTTTATTTTGGGAATCTCTTGATGCTGCTGTTCACTACAGTTCTGGTGACATTTTCTCTGCTATTAACCTTGTAACAAGGCAGAAAAACATTTACAGCAAAATACCACTGGTGCAGAACCTGTACAACACGAGCACTGCTGTCTGTGGAGCTGTTCCATAGTCTTTAGGACGCACCCCCTCTGAAATTAGGTCCCCAGCAACCTGGCATCAGCTGAGTGCTTCCGTGGGACAGCTGCAGTTGTGTGACTTCAAAGGGACCAACGCAGGACAGTCTGTTCACAAAGATCTTCTTGGTGCAGTCAGAGAATGCTAATGCTTCACCATTCAGAAAAACCCTCCTTCGTGAAAGAATTTCAGCTTCTGTGACCATGGAGATGACAAGTTAATGGATCCATCTGCACCGTGTGGGTAAGGATTTATCCATGAAATTCCCCTACATGTTAATGTGAGTCGTGTAGCTGAATCCCAGCCTTGCCATGCTGAAACTTACCCTAACTCTCCAAGGAGAAGGCGCTAATTGGATTGCTGAGTTTAAATCCTTCAGCTAGTCAGTCCATGGAAAGGATTTAGCACTGGCTCTGTAAAAGGCTTTACATAGCTTTGCAGTGCAGTGCAGGGGAAGGTTATTTTTCCCCTTTTCTTCTTGTGATTAATTGTGAGACTTGAGGTGACGGGAGACATAATGAAATTCATAAATGCCAAAGGCCGTCCCAAGTCACATTCCTGGCTGTTGGTTTAAGTTAGAAACTGACAGAAGTGCGAACAAATCAAGGCTGCTCTGATAGCCTTTCACTTACAGGGAAGAAAAAGTAACTGACAATGAAAAACCACTGGAGCTGGTTTAATGGGTGTAAGTTCTCACAGAAGAGAGGTATTTTACACTGATACAGATTGTTAGATACACAAGTGACTTACGAGCAGAGACATTCTGCTCCCACAGAAGGCTGAGAAATTCCAGTTCTTTTTCCAGAAATTGGCCCAAGGTATTTTAGCAATATGCCAAAGAAAAAGCTGTTGCAAAACCTGCAGCAAAACTCAGCAACTCGTCCTCTGTCACTGTTCATGACTGGCCTTGCTCCGCCTGTTGTAAGTTTTAGAAGTCAACTCCCCTCCATGGGAGACGGAACTTTCCACATGAACAGTCAGCACAGAATTTTAATCTAGCAATTTCCAGACACTCACCTCTGCCTGGAAAAAAGTTCTGCTACTTCACAAGGTCCAGGTTTGAGGTACTGTGTAAGGAATGGCTTCATCGATCCTACTTCCCAGTGCATGACAGTGCAAACGTGTCATGTCTGAGTGTATATGGACCAGATGCTGATGCGGTGATCCTTTGCACCAGCTGCCAGCAGTCTGTCAGTGGGGCTGCTGTGGTCTGAGAAGGACACAGAATGGACAGTTGCGGTGTGGTAGTCCAGCACTGCTAAGGGCTTCAGTTTTTTCCAGCCAAAGATCCTGATGCGATGATCCCACCCTGCTGTTGCTAAAATCTTCTTGTCTGGACGGATGGTGATATCAGATATGCCAGCATTGACAAGTCTGTGCGTTTTCTGAACCTGTGTGAGAAAGTCATAGATGAGCTCTGATCGTTTCAGGCAAGCAGAAGAAAATAGAACCTTCTGGGATTTTAAAGGTAGACCATTCACCCGTACGCACACTGGCATCACACAGATGCTTTTCATCACATGGCAGATAAAGCATTAATGAGAACAGTTAATTTAACTTGACCTTAACTATCTCCAGCGCCATTCCACAAACGTTCCTTGTGTGTTTTTAATTTGTATTGCATTTAAAGCTGTTTACATTTGGTCACAAGTGAAGCTGTGGCGCGAGGGTCTGAGACTGAGAATCAGACTGCGCAGCTTTGCCCTTCCAGCTCTTCTTTCATGAGTGGCAACGTTCAGAGCTCTGGCCAAATATCTTCCCCTCTCTTGCAATATTCCCATGCTGAGATTCTGAACTGTCCTTTAAACTACCCACTACTCATTTCTACTACTGTAACCCCTCACAAAAGCCCCAGTAAGCTGTAGCAGTATTTACCAGATTCTTGAGAAAGGAATGCTTCCAGGAATTACGTTACAGGGTCAGGAAATCTGTAGATCCAGTGCCTCTCCCCAAGGGACTTATTTACAGCAAATTCCAAGAAGGGGATTACAAACAAGTTATTGATTTCTACCTTGAAGTCTTTTGTTTCTGCTTGCAGACTACTGCAGCACAAGTTTCCAAGGGGCACAATTAAATTGAAAGGTAATAAACTTCATTCTTGACTCACTGGGCACAGCCCTTGAAAAGAAGCTTGCTTCACTGTCACGAACTTCCCCTGAAACACCAGAAAAGCCCCACGTCATACAATTGTGCTGTTCTCACCTCAGGTAACTTACATTAGTCAGCAGTCTGTCCCTGAAACACAGGCAGCTTTTGTTGAAATAGCCCAGCTTTGTCACAATGGGAAGACACCTTTTTAAGTGTATGCTGATCTCAACTTGTGGTTATTTGTAAGCACAACTAGGGATTACATTTAGAAATGACACATGCTGCTGTCTTCTTAGGACTAAATGTGTAACAACCATCTCTTGAAGCAAAGCTTAATGCATGGTATCTATTGTTTTCAGGAAAAGGGACTTAAAAGCACATTTTTATCTGAGTAACTTCCCTTCAAGATGAACATTCCAGGATGTTACGGGACTGTAGTACAGGATAGCAGCACATACTAATTTCAGGTTGTGTTAACTGTAACACAGCATTCAGAAAACTGAAACTCCAGCCACACATCAGAGTTGCTTTCACATGCAACTGAAGGCATACTGGCATTTTCCAGGAACAAAGCTGGAAGCAGTTGCTTCTCAGCAACGTAACAAGTGCCCGGCTCAAGCAGCAAGGCGTGCACCTCACTGAGAAAAAGACCAAAGGACATGTGACTGCTTCTTGCCTTCTCCATGCAGTCCTCTAAAGGACAAGTGTGTCTTCAACCAATTCACAAGGGACAGCGAGTTTTGCTAAGCCTGTTCAGTGGTTGGAGGCTGTCTGTGGGCCTCCTTGCAGTGCTGCTACTGCAGAACTTGTGCTTTTTGCTGATAGATACTTCCAAACTCCCCAGTTGCAGTAATATCTCATAGCTTCAGTGGGATTTTCGTTGCCATGTGTCTACTGGAAGGGGAGGAGCTGTTACATCACCAGCTTGGCAGCTGGAAGTAAGATGGGCCTTTCTCTGTAACTGAGATTATTAGCTAATGGCTATAGCCAGTCCTGGGTGTGGTGCTTCCCATCATTACTGTCAATTATGTAGGTGAGATCCATACAGCAAAATCAGGACGACTGGGTGAAATTGCATGTCAGCAGCACGCTACAACTTGAAAATGAAGCCTATAATGGAGATGCCTTTTGGCTATGGAACATGAGGGAACAGTGGGCATTTGTGCACAATTTGCAAATCCAGGAGGTGAGAGAGGAAAAACAGAGAACAACTTGCTCAAGGTTTTTGCAGCCGGGTGAAATCCTGTTGCCAGGATGTGGCCACAGCGTCAGTAACAGGCAAACACTGTGCCAAATACATACCAACATTGTTTCCTAATCAGAAAGCTAATTTAGAATTAAGAAAACAAAGCCACCAACAGGTGAGCTGCTTCCAGCCAGTCATGGCCAAGGACACTTGTATCTACTGGCAGATTCATGAAGAAATTTTGACATGCTCAGACCAGATATCCACCTCTCCTTTCCTCAACACTTGCCATCTACGATTTTTCTTATTAAAATCAGCCTCTCCTACACCCAAATTATGTGTTTGAGCTGTTTTTTAAGAAGTAGCAAATACAGCAGCAGCTTCAACTTTAGCATTTAAGGGAAAAACCTCGGTAACCCGACCAACAGAACCTGCATGCTTACCTACACTGCAGCTTTCATAGAATTTTCTTTCTTGCCCCATAAAAGTCGAGTGCTCCTTTGATGACTGGATTTTAGTTCTGCTTCGTTTATTCACCTGTGGAAGCTGTTTACCTCCTACTTTCCATCACAAATGTAACCACTTAATTATACTATCTCAGCCAAATCAGAAGGCTCATAACCAATCCAGTCATCTGCTGACAGAGATGATTTCAGCAATTTTCTTGTACAAGACAATGCACCACTTTCCCCATAGTGATAAATGATGAAGTACCTTCATCATCTATTCACTGACACACTGGAACGCTGCCACTTAAAACAGAGCTGAAGTACCATCATTGCATCATTATTTCTCCAACAGCAGATAGCTATGCACCACGTTTACTTATTAAAACCTTTTAGAATAAAAATAACGTGCCACTGAGTGGCTTTCCACCATCTACCATTACCTCAGGTAACTGGAATGCCAAAAAAGAAAAGTCCCCATCTGGTTTTTATTATTAATGTAATAGTAGAGAAAAAACCCCACAAGCTATGTCCTTGACAGCCTGTAGTGCTCACATGAAAGATGCACTTTATTGGGGAATTCACACCACGCACGAAGCACCAACGCATTACTTATGGGTTACAACATTTGGCATTTAAATTTCTCCTGAGAAATACGGCCATCATTGTGATGCTCTGAAGGCGTAACTGACCGTGAGCGCTCTGCGGAAAACAACTGCAATATTTCAGGTGAACTGCTTGTTATTTTTCCCCGAGTCCTACCCTGCATTACAATTAACTCATAAGTGTAACGTGCTGTGAAGAGCAGGATTTTCTTTGAATGCCCTGCTATAATTAATAGGAAGGAATGACTTCCTTTCCAACAGCAAGTATCCGAATCTTAAAGAAACCTGTCATGGTGTCAGATTTCTAGAAAACCAGGCTCAATACCAGGTCTCTTACTGAGCCTTACCTACTCAGTGTCCTTCAGCTTCCCTGAGCAATGGACTCCAGGTGTGGGTTGTGGGGGCAAACGTGACAAAGCCCAACTAGGACAGCTATGCACCAGACTTGTTAAACTCTGCTTTAATCACATTCACTTGCTACTTCATTGCTTCTCATTCAGAATCCAGATTTCTGGATCTATTTCGTGGCTAACTGCATATTAAAGTTGGCTTTCTCCTCAGCACCTGGTGAGCTCTGTGTGCTGCAAACGGCACCTCAGTGGGTGTATGTGTAAAGCACATACTGAATGCTAGTGCCATGCTGATCCGTCAGTTCTGTGGTGATCAGATCGCGGCTCTTGACGGCGCCCCCACATGATGTCACTGCCAAACGCCCAGGGAATTGCTGTTCTTGTAACTGTTCAGAAAATGGCATCAACTCATCACGCTACCTCACAAAATCTACAACAGCTGCAAGCACTAAGAGCAGTTGTTTCTTCCTTGAATCCATGCACCCAATTGTTCTGAAGAGATACACAGGGGCACACAGAGGCAATGTGTGTTCAGGGAACAACTGCCTTATCAACAACTGCAAAAAATAAAGCGCTCAGCAGTGCAGGGGCAATGGATGGGCCATTTTCACTTTCAAGAGCCTTTATTTACACAATTTATTTCCACACCTACTTAAAACCTCCTTAACCCCTTGGCAATGTTGGAACACTTGCTTAAGTTGTCTAGATTAAGCAATATTTATTGCCATTCACGAGCAGAGACTGAACTGGTGGTGATTACGAGACCTACCCCTAAACCTGCCACTCCAGGTGCATACAGCTCAGGCATAAACCTACATAAACCAATATGAACTTATTCTTTCCCTGTCTCCAGCTAGCGTGCTAGAAGTGCAAAGGGAAGCTAGCTGCCTACACCTCGCATCCTCTTAGCCACGCTATGTCTGTTCTTTCAGTTTGTCAGGTATCTCATGCAATGTTCTGTCTTTCTCCACAGCAAAAGGAAAACTCTATCCATTCAAGCAGAACCTCTGGAAAAGCAATCCTTTGTTTCTCATTTTTGTAAGTCATTTATAATGTTTGAGACGTTCTGAGAGCTGGATACTACTAACGTGATAAATGAAGACATGGAGGCAATGGTTTGAGAAATGCTAGGCCTGCATGCCTGCTGCAACTTCAGTAAAACCAGAAACATGTGAGAGCCTTTTTTTTTTCCTAAATCCTCACCGTCCTTTGTTAAGTCTAGGCACACAGCACAAGCATTCTAACCAGTCTGTGATTAATTAGCTAGAGGTCTGCAACAACTCTTCTCCATGACTAAATAATTTTTTAGTCTATCAAACTGTTAGTGCAAAGTGGGATAAATGACACTGAAGGGCCAGCGGCACTGACCTGCAGGTTCTGTTGCTCATTGAGGCTCCAGATGCTAAGCACCTTTTCAGATGAGCCCGAGATCCCTTTGGCCTTCTCTGAGTCAAAGTCAAGGCTCATCACCGGCTCCTGGTGGCAAATAAGTTGGCTCAACACTTTCCCCGTTGACAAATTCCAAAGGAGCACCGATCCATCTTCATAGCCGGCCAGAAGCGACGGTTGTGAACCACAGCTGCCCTGACCAAGAGAAAAATAAAACTGTTTGAAAAGTGAGCAGTCTGTTTGTGAAATTCTCACCTCCAACTAGGTTTTATTAGATCAAGCATCGAGAAAGTAAATGAAAATGCTGACAGATGTAATAGAGAAGAGTTTAGAAGTCTAACTGCCAGTGCCACCAGTAAGGGCACATCTCTGTGTTTCCACCACTTTTACTAACAGCGTTACCAGCAACTGCTGACAAGCACTCAGCTTCTGTATCAACACGTAACATTTTATACTTGATGCATGTAGCAGATATCTAATGCACGCATGTATATTATATTCACACACAGATTACTGAAAGTCCAGTCTATAGCCCTGTACATCACTTGCAAAAAGACTGCCTGAAGTTTCTGAAGCTTTAACTCGTGGCCTAAAGTTCATTGCAGTTGTTAAAAAAATAAGAAATAGAAAAATAAATAGAGCAACAGACTCAGCATCGAGCTGTGCAGAACCATGCGGGCACTGAGAAGAGCCACGCACCAGTGCAGCTGCACGCTGCCAAAGCAGGGCTGCTCACAGGGACTGCAAGCACTGCAGCACATCAGGCTGGACACCAAACCTCTTCAGAGACCTCTGGGCGAGCCACCAAGGGGTTAACAGGCGCCCGAGTCCCACTGTAACCAACTGAAGGCTATTTTGATTAATGATGTCACAGGCCAAAGGGCACAGCACCCTGGGCAGACACCTAATTTATTTAAGCCTCTGAAATAACTCAAAGAGGGGAACATTACTGGATTACATGTCACACTTAAGGAAAATATTCATAATCGCTCCAGCCAAAGACTAATGACCCTGTAAGCACCAACGGGCTGCGTGAGTGAAGATGCAAATCCCGAATGAAAAGCAACTAAATAACAAGCATCTGTTGCCGGGCTTTTTTTAATAGGAGAGAGACAACGCACCAAACAGACACTGGGATGATGACCACCTCCTGCAGGGACACCAACCTAAGAAACGCATCCCAGAGCTTATTCAGTTATTTCCAAACCTGGCCTGATCCCACGATCTGTTGTTTAGTGTTGGAAACAAACTCAAGTTAAAGGATGTTTATAAAGAAATAGTTGTCACTGGCATTGCATGATTGAATGAGGTTCTTCAAATGGACTTGCTGCCAGTGGTGTGCTACAAGCCTGCACTGACCAACAGCTCACCACCTCTATTAATGGCCCAGCCTGCTCTCCCACAGGTGATTATTTCTCCCAGGGGGAATTTAACCAACAACAGAGGGGTGGTCTGGGAAATAAAGCTGCTGAGTAAAAGCACTGCATTCTTTTTCAGATTTATTCAGCCCAAAGAAACATTTAAACGAGGAATAAATCTTACCATGCAGGGAACAAAACTGCTCCTTAAAATAAGGAAACAAAGCAGGTCTGCCCTCACCTCAGATCCTGTACAAGTCTCACTCCTTACTTCAAGGTTCCTTTTCTTTGGAAGAGGCAGGGGCCTTGCTTTGGCCACATGTGGGCACATCCTTTTTTTTATTTGTTAAAATAACATCAGAGCAAAGAATAACTGTCAAATATATGCAAGTTCACAATGTTAAATGCTAGGTATTTTGGATGGAGAGTGCTCTTTTTTTTAAATGTTGGGGTAAAGAATAAAAATCTGAATTAAAATGAATTTTAATTAAAAAAAAAAACAAAGTATTTTATAGGTACATTAAGTTTAAGAAAGCCCCCAGTTTGGACAGAAAAACTGAGAAGAGCTGTTACTGTAGTGCTCTTCTGTGAGCACACTGCTCTTCTTGAAGCTCTTCTTGGATGGTCAGACTTTCCTTATCCAACAAAACAAGATTGGGACGGGCAGAGCTGGGTCTTCTGCCTCAAAACAGGGTGGCCAAGTGTTGTGGGTGCTCCCCACCTCACAGTGGGCGCCCAGCATCACTGCAGATGGCCAGCAGAAACATTTCTCTTTCTGCTGCAGGTATCTCAACTTAACTTCAGAAATGGAATTTGCAGTGAGAGATTGGTCTGTTTTAAAAAGCGTTTTTTTCTGTGAAAGCAGGGGCTCCTGTAGTTCCTCCTGACATGCTCGAGCGTGTAATACTTTAATGAATACATATACCTGAACTTAATAACAGCTATTGAAAGATTGGAGAAGCTCTCAGTCTGATGCCTGGCCTTATCAAGCAGTGCTTCACAACAGCCCACTTATTTCAGCTGTACATAATGGACACTTCTGGAGAGACGACTTTGCCAGCCATGTTCTGGTGTCAGTGGAAAATTTAAACTACAAATCATCATTCTTCCTAAACAGAGCAGTTCGATGTTGCATTTGGATAACTGTCAAGGAAGGAAGAGAAGGTGATCTGCTGTCAGCTCAACAAGAATAATTGCTATAGTTTATATAAAGTAATAACTATGCATTTCCAGTTTCTACATGTATTGTTCCCACTGAATTATTTTGTTTGTGCCCTTACGCAACATGATGCCTTCCCCACAGTACAGAAAATGAAGGGAAGGCCATATTTACTCCTGCAAATCCTTACCCCACCCAATTAGTAATAGCAGAAAGGTGTGAAGCTGAAGGAACAACGTATTCAAGATTGCGAGTCTTCAAAAGAGAAAGGAAAAAAGTGAATGAGGCACCGAATAAGTGAAGGACAGATTTAGAGTCAAATGAGAGGAAAGAAAAAGTTTCAGAACAACAAAATAAAATGTTGATATCTTTTAAACTGCTTAGAAGCAGCGAGCGTGGCTCAATCCACAAGCCTAACACAAGCTTCATCTCAGGTCCACTGTGTATATGAGAGAGTTCCCAGCTCATGCTACTGCCTGTAAGACCCTGAGCTGCCTCTGATCAGGAAGGGTGCAGCTGGGTTAGCTGGCGTCCTGCTTCATGGTTACAGGGTTACTCATGGCCCACTTAGGGAACCACAAAACAGAACACAGCAGCACTTCAGTGCTCCAAATAATTACTTGTCCTTAAAGAGCATCCTCCACCCCTGTGCCTGTGAACTGAGTTCAACACCTTTGTAAAAGAATTAAAAATAAAAGAATAAAAGAATAAATGTGAGACTGCAGCTGTCCTTGTCTGTTGCAGTCTAGGAAGTTGTGGTAACTTACCAAAGTTTTAGTTTGCACAGAGTAACTCACCTCTCCCAATTCCCAGTCTTATCCTTTATCCCTACTGCCAACAGAATTGAAAACTTACTTAAAAACAAGACTCTGCACCTGCTCTGCTTCCTAGAGGATCAGCAGATTAGTTCATGTGGGAAGCATGGTGAGAAAGAGAACTCCTTGTACGGGCAACAAAGTTTTAAACACTGTACTTTCCCTCAATTATCTTCATCTTGTTAAAATACGTCCAGGCCACAGAGAGCCACGTTCATTTCCTTGAGTACCGACTGCCTTTTTAGAATAAACTTTGTTTAATGAAAACCTGATTAGTCTACCTGTCTTTTTCCCCCTAGCTATTCCTCCATGGGACTTACACTGTGGCCTCTCCTACTTCACCTCGATACCAGCAACTGAATTCCTCTGGACTTCACCCAGTTCAGGCCCCGAGTGAAGACAGCGGTGCCTCAAATGCGCAGCGGATCAGTACTTTGTGCAGCTGAAACCAACACAGATCTTCAGATGGAACTGAAGGGAATCATGTGGTTGAAATCAGCTCAGACGGCGCTGCAGACCTGTAACTGTCAGAGGTCAGGGAGTAAAGCAGGGAGTCTGCATTGCAACTAATTTGGGGGGATTTAAAGCCCACCACTTGAACTCCTTTCTCTGCTGCCGCCTTCCTGTGCTACTTGCCTTTCCCTGCTGACATCCCATAAGCATCGCTGGCAAAGTGCTCTGCAAATGTACTTTTCTGTTGTTTATTTTTTGTTTTGTTTTAATTAGCTGTTTTTGTTTACCTTTTAGTTCAAAGCCAGTACAACCATAAATATCTGTTCCTATTGTATGCTGGTAACAGGAATGTTCATAGAGTGCTTCCTTACCCTGGGGGCATTAAAGTGAACGTAACCTGCCACTACAATCACTGTCTTTAAGTAACCCAATCGTTTCTCATCATTAATAAGGCGAGAAGCTCTATCAAGCAACTGGCTTCAGTAAGCCACTCATTTTTCCTCTTGATTGATGCAAAAACTGTGCCTATCCTAAGGATATAAAGCCTTCCCTAAGTATTTGCAAATCTTCCATTAAAGCTTGGAGAGCTCTGAAAGTTACATTAACGATGTTCACAAATCTTTCCCCCCTTTAATAGTATAATTACTTGATTGGTTTGATAATAAATCAAAATCCAAGTGAAGAAAGATTCATGTGCTTCACATAAAATGAATCACAGGGAAAACATTTCACAATTAGCAGGCACTCTTGCCTTACCTGCCATAACTTCAGACACATGGGCATGCCCAGCTTGGCACCCATCTCTGGCTTCAAGGTACAGACTGACGTCTTGGATGGTAGCTCCAAAACCTGAACCTGACATCAGGAAAACAAGAGTATTTGGTCATGCTCCAGGTCGAAATTCTACTGCTAATCACCTTAGAAGACTTGTGTTTTTAAGGCTAGTGTAAGTACTCCCAGTAATAAGCTGTCTGGAGGAAACTAGGGAATACATGTTAAATTGAAGCTGTAGGGGAATCTACAGGTGAGCAGTTTTATGAAAGACCAGACAGAAGTGCTAGGAGGTAACTTCATCTTCCACTGTTCTGTTACCTCTTCTGACTTCTCTCCTTCGAGCAGGTGATGTGCATTACAGCAGGTAAGAACGCAGACAGCTTAGTCTGAAAACACCTCCCTGCTTCCTTCCCCTTTCTCTGTCTTTGTAGTGAAGTTTTTCTGTTATGTTCAGTTGTGGATACTTCTGTTGTCTCTTCTGTTCTGCGTGGCAATACAGAGCTTGTGTGGATGGACAGCCACCATATATATCTCAAGGGGATTTTCATTCACTGGTTGACTGCACTAGCAGAACTTAACACCCCAAATCATCTGCTCAGTGCAGGCTGGAGCACCAACAGCACACTGGTATTTGTACCACAGTGCTGTCTGACCCTGCTTTGAACAGGGTCAGGTAATTCTGTGCTTAACACCTGTTCTCTGTCTGTGTAGCAGCCCCCACTTTTTCTTGCGCTGAAGGCAATGAATTATGGGTTTGTCTTTAAAAAAGCGGGGCAAAAGTCTTTCTTGTGCCAGAGAAGCAGCTCATCTCCACCGCAGGATGATGGCAGGCGAGATCAGGGGGTCTGCCTTTGCAGTTTGGCATTGCAAGGTCTTCAGTCTCTTGCCTGACACAGAAATGCTTTACTTGGGGCTGAACTTGAGCTTGGAACTATGGAGAAAGACCTGATGTTCCTGGAAGCAAGTTTTTGACACACACACACACACACACACACACACACCTTTCTCACACACATACTTAATCACTGAGGTGATCTTTTATTTTAATTAAATAAGCAACAGCCCACATTATCTCATAAAAGTAAAGGACTTCAAATATTTGATAAATCCAGCATCACCAGCCACTCTGGATTATTTCAGAATGTGCGAAGGCCCAATAGTGCTGTTGGACAGCCCAAGACATGTGAATTTCCTTAAGCATCTGAGATGAGGTATTAAACAAATATGGCTCCTCTGGGAACCATCAATCAAGACTGCAGCAGATGCAATGGCTTTCCAATCCCATACCTTTAGTTCAAAGCTTGCCAGAACATCTTCCTATTTCTAGAGATTGTCAACTAGCCTGCCAAAAGCCAGCTGCACTCTAGGACTGCAAGTCAATGATGTACTAAACACAATATACACAGCATTTTCTAAAGCCAGTTAGCAATGGAGCAGGAAACTGTTCTCCAGATTTGACAGATGGAGGCTATAGCAGAGCCTTGCAGTGTACAGACCAAAGTTGGAGCACCTGGGAATTCTGCTTCTTTGGAGCTGTGCTCTTAACAAAAGATTCTTTTCTCTTGGCAACTTTCTTGCTATCAGTATAATGACCAAGTTAGCTATTGGAGAAAACCAGCTGTAAATATGGAGGCGACCCACTCTCATCTTGTGCCTTTCATCACTGGCTCCCCGCAGGGCATCATCTTCCAGACTACAAGAAAACCAGGACTGCAACTTTTAGTTAACAAGGGAAGATAAACGCACTGGGATAAATGCATCTCTGCAGGTTAAGAGTCATTCTTAAAAAGCCACTCCTTTATTTTACCTTGATTCAAAAGGAAAGACCTCTTGCAAGGGCTACGGTTGAGCCTGCGGAGGACAAAGGAAAGCAGAGAAGAGGATTTTTTCTGCAGAAGGCAATCGGGCTGAGCTGCCTGTGCTAGACTGACAGTTCCAGACATTGCCTGCATTAGACAACTGAGCCCTAGAAATAAATACTATTTCATGTATTTTGACATCTGTAACCTAAAACTTGAAGTTCTGTGTTTATATTGGTTTTGCTTAATAGGAGAAAGATTTTCCTTTGCCTGAGGTTAATAGTGTTCCTGGGTGGCTAAAACTGGCCACAAGGAAACACACCCTTTTTCTTTTCCACATTAATAAAGCTTTTAACATGTTTCTGGCAAACTGGCAAGAAAAGTGCATGTAACTCATAATTGGTGATTTAAATGCAATCACGAACAAATAAATGCCTGTTCAGATCTCATTATTTATGGACTGAACCTGCTTTAAGACAAAATTACTCTTCTTTGGGCACCAGCCAAGCATAAACACTTATTAAGTCTTAATTTTAATCATAAGCTGCAAATGTACTGTGTCTCACAGTGCTGCCTATTTGGAAACACTGCATATTATGGGAGCGTATGTATGTGCATTTATTGAAAACTGACAGAGTTCCAGTGTCAAGTTCACACAGAGAGAGGAAATCTTACCTCAGGAGACAGCAAATCATTACCAGCTTGCAAAGCCCAAGCAAACAAATGAAAGTAAACCAGAGATGAATTGCAAGAGACACTGGGGTAAAGCAGCTCCTCTCTATGACTATTTAATTCTTTGTGAACAGTGTGTGTGCACTTTGACTGAAACAAGTTCCTCTCCACCTGATGCAAGACAGCACTTTTCAGGTTTAAGTTAAATATCATTGAGCACCTCTGTCAAACAGGAGCAGTTCTCTGTTTGATCACAACATGGATGCGCCCGAGAACGGTTTCATCTCGTGGCACAGAGGCTGTTTCTACAGGCTTGCTCACTTCTGTAAAATGCTGAATATCCTGGCTGTGGGCCAGCACAGTACTGACACACATCTCAGCTTCTGAGTGACAAAGAGCCCCCATCTCGCAGTGCAGGCGCCGTCCCACACACTGCTTAGTGCACACAAAATGTAACTTTCAGGATATACATCCTGCAGTCCAGGTAAGCTCCTGATCTTCTATGCTTATGAACAACTTGCAATTTAACTACAACATTGCTTTTGTTTACTCATATCACCTCTTTTTTCATACTTTTGGTATTTTAATGTCAAGCATGTGAATCAATTTAATTTTGTATCATGTCCTCAAGCAGTCTTTAAAGAAAACAAAAATACAATTTGTACAAAACAGACGTGGAAAATGCCAACAAAGCTGTCAGTCCGTGACTGCTGTGATAATGGGTATGCAATGTGGGTGTATCCAGTAGGAACTGAAGTGAACCCTACAATTATTTCAAACAGAGCAAACCTCTTGCTGCTAATAGTAATTCCACTATTTCCAGCCAAAGTACCAGTTAAAGAATTAGCCCGAGGTGAAAGACCACATATCGCATTACAAATCACCTGCACCTCCCCTCCTCTCAGCATGCACAACTTCCAGCCAGAGACAGCAGATGAGAACGGCCATCTGACGACAGACTTCTGACTGTTAGCTCCCCAGAAGGACTCTTTTCCCCTTTTAACAGCATTCAGCAGCGGCACCACAGGAGCTTTCAAACCTCCTGCACATGAAAGGCCATCAGCAGCTGCAAATACTTAAACGTTACACAAAACTTGGGGTGGTATCCTTGTTATTAGAGCATGAGTTATACAACTCAGTCATTTTTCTGGCAGGTAATGGTGATCAGGAGCCCCGGAGGTTCCTCGTGCTGCCCCCTCTTGAGCAGCGGATTTCAGAGCAATGATGTTTCTCCTTCCAAACTTTCTTATTTAAGAAACAAAAGCAATGTTCCAAGCACCGGAAAAAGCAGCATTTCCTACCTCCTCCAGGGCCTTGGCTGCCGTGGCCATCAGCCAGCGTCCCTGTGCCACCTTCAACAGAGAGCTTCTGCAGAATCCCACGTTCTCCGTGAAGACAGAATCCGTCACTGCAGTCCGTCCCTCTGCTAAATCCCACAGGCAGATCCTCTGGTCACGACCTTGACTTTTACAATAAAGCAAGTTGTCCTGTGAGCAGCAGGACTGAGGAAACCTGCCTTCCTGCAGTTCAGTATCTCAAAGTTGGGACTTTAATACGTAATAAGGACTGAGCTTAGTAAAGCTTCAGAAGCTACCAGGAGGAGAGAGGACCTGAGAGTCAGACACACCACCCTCACTGTCAGCCACACTTCCTACCAAGAGAGAGCCATCAAACACAGTTATGCTATTTATATATGCAACTATTTATGATTTTTTTAATGAGTACTTGAATATTTTCCTGACAAGAATACTACACAGCAGCATATTTAGCACTCTTTCACCATAACAGTGAAACGGAATGATCAGGTTTGTTGACAGCTGAAAGACAAAGAGCGAGACAAGAGGGACCACAAATGTAAAGTGGCCTCAGTGGCCAGCTGCACGCAGCCACATGCAGAAGCAGACTCGCACACCTCCTGGTCCCAGGGAAAGCCCCTGTGGTCCCACAGAGCGGCCAAGAAGGCCAGTCAGAGCACAGCACTGCTCACTGCGCACTGAGCCAGCTCCAGGTGCCCCGGAACAAAACAGTGCTGTGGAGAAGCAGCAGTTTTGGAGTTAAACTACAGCAGCACAGGATACCCATCCTGTTACTGCCTGGGTCATCAGAAATTCCTCGTCCGTTTCTTATTTGAATTAGCAGTATTGCTTGACAGAACCACGCAAACAGAACAGGAGTAGATGCGAATCTGACTGATTTAGCGCTTCTTCAACATCAGTACAGAAACTCCCATCTGCTGTTCAGCTGAATGACAAACTATGAAAACATAGTGCTAGGAATACAAAAATGTGGTGGGACTGCAAGAAACTGCTGTGATTTAGAGCAGAATAGCAAAGAATACAGGTAAACAGTGTCCCAAAATCACACTGCTGTATGAACTGTTATACACCAACAATAGAGGTAATGAAAAGCTCTATAAGAATACAAACAATACTCATTCAATAGGATTTTATGGGGGAGAGTGTTGATAATTGTACTTAAGTAGATAACAAATATAAATGCTAATGAGTTCCACTGTGCATTATAAGAGATGTCTTCTCCAGATAAACATGTCAGAACACCTCCTAGTCATACAGACACTCTGGCATCCACTCGCTCAGATCACCTGTCTAATCCAAGGTACACAGATCTGCCCAACCTCCCCTTCCTAAACGAGAACACGGGCGTTTTGCAACACGGGTGTGCAGCTCAGCATTCCTGCTCATTTCGCACCATTCTCCCATCTCTGGTTCTTCTCCTCCCCTTTTCCTCCTTCTCCTCACAATTTCTGTACTGTACCAGATTTGATTTTCCCTGAAAAACAGTTGTGAAGCACCTAACTTCAAACCCATTTCCTTTAAGCAGAAACTTCACCTGATGTCAGTGCAGTAAAAAAGACACTGGGAAATTACAATGAAAAATGGTACAATTAATTTCCTCATGATACACGTGTAGTCACACTGCAGTGCAGTCTCACGTGCATCATGAAGAAATTAACTGATCATAGTAATTCTTGGTATCTGTACTTCTGTACATTTTCTGTATGTGCTGGGGAGGCTATTAGTGACTCCAAAAATAAAATAGTCCTGCTCCTTATATTTTTTTGTTGTTCTTTTTTTTAAACTCAGGTATATAACAAGGACAAAAATAATTTTCACTTTGTTTGCCAGCCTCACTAACCTCAGGAGCCTGTCTTCACCATCCATTTTTTCCAACCAGAAGACAGATTTTCTTCCATGACCATCCAGGGCCGCGTCCACTCTGTGAGTTTTCAGGTTCCAGACATGGATAAACCCATTCTCAGACCTGGCAGCAATAACAAATGCTGATAAGACAGTCCAATACTTCCTCCCTTCTTTTTCCCCCAGATAGAAGGTTACACGTACAAAGACAGCAGACCCATCATTCACCAGCCATCCATTTTGTTGTTTATCTAAATAACATCCTTTATTTTAAAAGGAAACGTCTCTACAGTGCTCAGCTTAGCCAGAAATCCAGATCTACTTACCCAGAGAAGAGAATGGGGACGGCAGGTTCTTCACCTCCGCAGGAAAAACGCAGCGCATGGACAGCAGCACTGGAACCTCTGAGCACAAAGCGTGGGCCTGGAGGCGGCTGAGCCATCCGAGCCCCTGGGAGAGCAAAACAACACGGACACCATGGAGGGCAAGGCAGCTCCTGCAGGGAAGTTACAGCTGTAAATATTTTTGGATCAAGACATTAGCTTTTCTTAGAAGTAGCATCTAATATTGGGAATTGGTAACATACAATCCTTTGGAAGTAATTCCTCTTAGCTCTGAGCGATTGAGCATCCACCCAGTCTGCAAGCTGACATTAGGTGGTGTTTCCTTCTAAGCTCGCTGGTCGCCGAGTTGCCATGTGCATGCACCCCTGTAAATACAGAATTGTTCAGCTGTTCTCTCTGCTGCAGAAAGGAACAGATACTAAACGCAAGAAACTCATGCAATAATTTATCGTTCCACTTATCCTCCTGGAAAGTCTTTCCCTTTCTTCACCATCAAATGCTCTGTTTGTGCTTTCTAACCACAACCATCTACAGAAAAGCACTGCAGGATGTATGTTGAGTGAGAAGAATTGCAGATGAGATCGGAGCTATGATCATTTTTACACAAGGCTTCCATCACTCCCCAGTGCTTCAGCTTCTGGTTGCAGGCATGGTTACTTGAAAAAAGAAACGTGTTCTTTCACACTACCTAGACTCGAGTTAAACATTTTATTCTATGGGGCAGGAATGGTGAGCTCCAGCTCTGAACACCCGTCACAAACACGCTTCACCTGTGCTCTAATCCTGAATTTTGTCACAGAAGGTCACCTTGGGGCAGCAGTGTGCTGTCACCCTCAAAACAACACTCTGTGGAGCCACAGAAATAACAGCTGGGCGGCTCGACAGAGGAGCTGGTCCTTCTGCACTGAGACTGCACTGAGCGAGGAAGACAAAGCAGGTGGGGATTACTGGGCAGGTTGTTTTTAACAGCATTTTTCCAATTACTGACACAGAAGTTTTGCTGACAGACCACAACTGTGTGCCTGCCTATGGGAAGGGTTTTATCTGGCATCAGGCAGACACTGCAAGTGCATGTCTTCACAAGGGCAGCGCCTCAGAAAAATCTTCAGACTGGCTACAGCAAAACAAAAAACAAAACAATCTCCATTTATAAGCAAATGAAGCAACATCTTGCTCTCTGGATGGAGCCAGGTTCTTTGCTTGGTTGTTTTGTTTCTGTTTGGTTTGGTGTTTTTTTTTTTTTTTGTTTTTTTTTTTGCAATCCAGGTATGTGAATTTTGAAACGAAGCTTAATATTAAGCCCATATTGTTTTTTTTATTGAGCATACGAAATGACTTCTTATTACTTCCTATCATGACTCAACAAGTGAACAGCAGTATGACAGTCTTAAGTGTCTCGTTTATCTTTCTGCAAGTGCTGAACTATACAAACGTGTCTGTGCTGCCTTCTGTATCCATGAGCCTGGACAAATCGCATAAGAACTTTTGATACATTCTTGCTCTTAGGTACCTAAGCCAGCAAAAAGTCCCATGAGAACCTGAATGGAATTAAACCCCCAAAAAGCACCCACCAGCTCCTGCAGACACACAGGAGCATCCTCTAAGATGTGGCAGCGCACCCACAGCGCCGAGGGGCTCAGCGCTCCCTGCTCCCTTACACAGATAACAGAACACACGGCGCTGAGCTGATGCTGACAGACAGCAGCTGTGCCATGCTGCACTTCAACACACAGCGACAGCCATGCTGAATGGGAAGCCTGTGTGATCTTACCACCCCGGGTACCTTTTGCAGAAGCCCCCACGTGAAGCACAAGTATAAGGCTCACATCCATGAACGCGCAGTCCAAAATCTCTAGGACCTCTTAAAGTTTCACCCCAGGTGTCAGAAAATGAGTTCTCTAATTAGCACAACATTTATTTTATCGTTAACTCCATTTAGCCTCAGGGAGACCAATCTGCTCTTGTTAACTGGGGATATCTGCAGCAAATTTAATTAAACGATTTGCTTAGCATTTAGGCTGGTCTGAAATCGAAATCTGGCTCAGGGGCCTGAAGAAGCAAGCTGCGTGAGTTCATAAGAAAGCTTTCTTGTCTTATTTTTCCCACTTTGGCCTTCCTGTGCTCGCAGTCGCATCTCTTGGATTCTGAGCTTCACCTCAGCACAGCACAAACCACAGAAGGCACTGCTCACAAGGTGTGCTGCAAACCCCTGAGCTCCCGATTAAATCCCTTTGTGAGCAACAAGGGGAAACTCAGCTGCTCACATCAGTGTTCCAATTAGCAAACAGCTACATGCAGCACATTAGGTACAAAAAGGGTTCTTCTGTCCTGAAAATGCGCTTCTGCTAAGTGCCACAACAACTGAATTCCTCCAAAGTTTCATTATTTTAAAGAACAACTCACTATTAATCTCCTGCACAGAGCTGATCCTCTATAGGCTGCAGAATACTCTTTGAGCCCATTGAGTTCTGTGCAGTGCTATTCCGGTATCATCACTTCCACATTTTATACATATATATTAAAAAAAGCTAAGCTTTTATTTTATGAGAGTCATTTAAAATATGTAAATGTCAAAAGGATTACCTTAGAAAAATCTCTCAGAGAATTAAAAACATTAACAGATTCCCACAGGAAAAATTCCAGCAGAATTCAGCAACTCTCCTGTTCCCACTCCTGTCACTTGTATTTCTATCACACATGGAAGCAAAAACAAATTGCTATTAAAATATCATCCAAACCCTCTCCCCCCCCTACAAACTCCACAGTTCTGCTTGAGATACCAACAGCTCCAGCAAAACATGGAAAAGGTGCTCTGCTCTTCAGGCTCGCTCACAGTAGAACTCCACTGTCAGAGCACTTTTTCAGGCACAGGTGAAATAAATCTCTAAGCACGTCTGGCAAACTGACTGGGGACTGAAACCAGCAGGTGTGCAGGCGCAATTACTACTGCGAAAATTCAGCACATCCAGGTGTGCTCACCACTAGCTACAAGAAACAGAACAGGGATTTCTTAATTCCTAGTCTGCCAGATGCCACCCTGCCACAGGAAAACCCAGCACAGCACGAGTTAAGAAAGATGGGAATGAATCGATCCTCCTCGTCCTTCCACGGCTCCTTTTTCATTCACACAAAGCCTCTTCTCAGCCTGCGCTGCTGCACAAACCTGCCCTCACCGTTCGGTGCCACTGCTGCCACTCGGGGCACGAGCTGAATGATCACAGCTCACCTCAGCAGCAGCGAGTGCTTGTATTTTACTGACAGCATTGGTGCACAAACGCTGTTAGGTGCGTTGTGGCAATTTTTAAGCCCAGTTCTTCATTCTGCATACACCAGTGACAATGACAGATTACAGTGAAACAGCAAAGTCAGCTGTTAATATAAATAAAGAGAAAACACGAGGCAATCTTATGGAGAAATCTGTTTGCACCTGGGTGAAAAAGAACGGCACAAGGAAAAGCCTTTCTGCATTCAGCATCAAGTCAGCACGTATAAAACGCTTAGGGAAGAATGAAGGGGGACTGAGATTCAAAGCCCAAATTAAAAGCCAGGCAGCCTGATTTTGGCATTCTCACTCCAGAGCCCTGAAAAACACAGTCTGTGTTGTGTGCAGCCACAGAAACGTGCACTGCTGAAAGCAGATCCAGAAGGAAAGCCTGCACAGCAACTGCCTGCACGGCTGGGAGCTGTGGGAGCGCTGCACAGTGCTGAGCACACTCAGAACTCACCCACCAACCAACACCACTGCGTTACTCTTTCAGTTTAAAGCTCCAATTACAGTCTTTGGTGCTAAATGCAGATACGAACCTGGACTGTACTCTTAGGATTTCTTTAACACTGCTTTTAAGAATATGCATTTCAAATTTAAATTAGAAATCAGTAGAAATCTTTGAATCGAGAAACTGATTTCAAGCAGAACGTCGATGTCTGATGTAGCCAGCAAAACGTGTAAATAAAGCAGTCAATGTTTAGATGTAAGGATAACCAATGCATTCTATTCAAACTAGTTATTTTCCATATTACCAATGATAACCAAAGTACAAATTAGGCACAGTGAGGTATGTTTGTATTTTATATTTGCCCTTGAAACTTACCCTACACCCCCCCCCCCCCCCAAAAAAAAAAACAAAAAAACAAAAAAACCACAGCAATCACAGGACAGGACGGGAAGCACTCAGCAGTGTGCACTGAGGGCGCAGAATCCAGGCAGATTTCCACACGGAAAGCTTCTGCTCAATAAACTTGCTAGAGACACCTCAGTGTCAAAGAGAACGCACAGGTTCGCACCGCCGGGCCGTGCAGCCCCGTGTCACTGACAGCAGCTCCCCCAGCTCACACTTACACAACCAGTGGTGGAAGTTTCCACATTTTAATTGTAACAGCCAGCCGCCGGATCAGCAGCAAACAAAACTGCAGATCAGCAGCTGGCGGGACGCCAAGCAATGCGATGGGAGCAGGAGGAAAAGCCCCACAAGCGCCTGCAACAACAGCACATCGCAATGGGCTTCAGCCAGCGTCAGCACCTCGCAGAACAGCCGTGTCCCACAGCAGGAAGACAGGACAGCACAGTACGTTATGATTTTAAGTAACGAAGTTTGCATGAAGAGTGCATTGCCTTCAGGAACGCCGAGCCCTGCAGCCCTGCCTTGAGGCTCACCTTCAAATTCTTCTATCTGCAATTTTTAAAGTCACTGTGTAATTATTATTTCCCATACGAAAACAGAGTCAGCATGGGAACAAAAGGAAGAAGGACAGTAATTATCTGCAAGACATCGAGTTAGCATATGGATCTCATTGCCACTTACACACTTTGGTCACTGAAACAAAAAGCTATTAATCAATATGTAAAGGCCATAAATTAACATAAACATTAATCATTCTAATACTCCCACTGTGTCAGACTGATAATTTTTTTCAGCCTTTCATTTTGACACATTTGCCTTCAGCCATCGGCTGCCTGGCCTCTTCCAGCACCGTTACACCTTTGGGGCACTGCATGTCTCACCGAAGGCAGCATTTTGAAGGCAGCCAAATATCACAGTTACATGCACGCTAAAGATATGGAGACTGAAATCAGAAGACCCCTCTCTCATGATATCAGCACACTGGCTTTCAGTAAGGACAGCCTGAAACGCAGTGTGGAAATACAGCTGAGGTGCACCAAGTTCTGCTGTTTCATCAACAGCTTCACGTTCAGATGAGGAAAGACGCCCTACGATGTACTCTGGGAACCACTACCTGCTCGGTACATGAGGTGATGTAGGCACAGAACACAGCAGTTGTTCTCGGTGACACACCCTCCATAAAGGGAACACCAAAAAAAATATTGAAAAAGAAAATGACAAGGCCAGATCTCCTGGAAAATCCA